TCAACACAGAATTTCATCTGCTATCAAGCTACTTATTTACTCAGCTTTGTTAAACTACTAACACTCTAACCTTGAATTACTGAAATAGATGTCATGTGTCTGCACTTTAGCCACATCTCCATGTCAGAATATTAAGCAACACAGTATGAGTCTTGTAGCACTTCATTGATAACCTTGTGCCCTGCTGATAATTAAACATGTACCCTTTGTTTTCTGTATTCTAGCCAGTTTCTAATCCATGATGGAATTTTATCTCTCAGGTTGTGAGTGCTTAGTTTCCTTAATAGCCTCTTGTGAGACAATTTATCAAAGACAAACAAATTACATCCACCAGTTCTCCTTTATGCATTATTTTGCTTACTCACATGAAGATTATTGTAGATAAGAGAGGTACAATTTTCCTTTAGATGAAGTATGTGGTTTTCTGAGTATGTCTGCATGATCATTTCACTTTTTCATAATTGTATTTTAATTATTGTTTTGACTTGTTTACCAGGGACTAAACAAAGGGTAACTGCTCTGCGATTGCCAGAATCACCTCTTACATTTTGGGGGGAATAAAGAGGAGTGGGCTTACCCCATTTGCTACTCTCCAGGCCTCCAGCAAAGCACCTGATTTAAATGAGAACATGTATTTTTGTTAGCAGCAGCATATAGAATCACAGAAATGTAATACTGGGAAGGACGTCAAGAGATCATTTAGTCCATCCCCCCATGCAGAGGCAGAATTAAGTAAACCAAGACACTCCTGGCAGTTGTTTGTTTAACTTATTCCTAAAGACCTCCAAAGATGAGGATTTCACAATGTCCCTCAGCAGCCTGTTTCCAAGGCTGTTTTTAGAGCTAGGTGAGAAAGTGGTAGAACGATTACCTGGGGTGCCAACTTCCAGAGACTGCTGGGCATCGGTGGCACTTGGGGTTTTTTCCTCCTTTTTTTTGTTCAGCTAGAAGGTTCCTCCTTGTTCACCCCCTCCCACTGGCTGGTGTTTGTTTCATTTTTGCTCTGCGGGGTGAACAAAAACATTTTTTTACTCTGGTTAGCAAAAGAGTTAAGGCTAGCTCTGCCTGTGGCTAGTCTTATCTAGCCTCGTAGTTAAAAAGTTAATGTCTAACCTAGTGATAGAAATGTAGCCATGTTAGTCTAGGGTAGCTGAAACAAAATACAGGACTATGTAGCACTTTAACCTAGATCTCCCTCACTGCAGACTAGGCAGATGAGGATGTTTTGCCCTAGTAGTGGAACTGGCAGAACAATGGATTGCAGTCCTCTTTGTACCAGCCCTGAACACATTTGCAGACTGTTAGCAGCCCTCCCCCCCCCACAGCTTTTTCTGCCCCAGACTAAACCTGCCCAGTTCTTTCCACCTTCCCCACTGACAGGGTTTTCCAACTCTCCTCTCTGGTTGGGGATGGACGCCTACCAACCTTCACCTATCAGTGATCTGCAGCAGTTCACAGAATCACAGAACCGGAAAGGACCTCAAGAAGTCATCAAGTCCAGTCCCCAGCCCTCCTGGCAGGACCAATCACCATCTAGATCCGTGGTCACCAACAGGTAGATCGCGATCGACTGGTTGATCATGAGGCCTTGACCAGTCAATCGTGAGGCGTCCGGGCCCCCCACCCCTGAGAAGCCCCACTACCTACCTCCAGCGAAAATGGAGGTAGTGCCGGCTTCCCGTGGGTGGACAGAAGTCCGGCAGCTTAGCGCCACTTCCAGGGATTCTGGAAGTGAGCTGGCTGCTCTGCCAGGTGTGCTGCGGGAGGGGGCATTGGCCCTGGAGGAGGAGCACGGCAACTTCCCTGCACTGGCGCAGGAGGGGTGAGTTGGCCCTGGGACACGCGCATGCAGGGTTTCCCTGCGCCGCAGAGCGGGACGGGGGGAGAGGGGGTGTTTCCGCCCTAGGGAAAGCGCGTGTGGGGTTTCTGGCCCCGGGACAGACATGCGCAGGGTTTTCCTGTGCCGCGGTGGGGGATGGGGAGGGTCAGGCCCAGAGGAGGCACACGCTGGCTTCCCTTGGGGGGGAGGGAATCCTGGGAGGAGGAAGATGCAGGGGACTCTGCCTCCACTGTCACCCCGCCCTGTCCCCACTCCCCTGCCTCCTGTTCCCATTCCCCAGTTCCCTCTCCCCACCCACAGAACTCTATTCCCACTACCCTGTCCCGAGCCACAGAACTCTGTCCAGACTGGCACCCTGTCCCCAGCTGCAGAAACCCGTCCCCAGTGGCACTCTGTCTCCTGCTGCAGAACCTGTCCTCTGCCCTCCCAGCACACTGTTCCCTCTCCCCTGCCTCCAGCCGCAGAACCCTGTCCCCACTGGCACCCTGTCCCCTGCCAAAGCACTCACTAGCACCCTTCCCCAGTACTATGTTCCCTGCTCCCACCAACACAGTTGGGGCCACATCAGTGGAGCCTGGGGAGGGGGGTTGGAGGGGGGTTTTTTCTGCATCTCACTTGTGTGGCCCAACTGACTTTTCTGTAGGTCAGTGACCCCTGACTCAAAACAGGTTCCTCATCCCTCTCATATATAAGGACAATGCAGAAACTTTTGTGTTTGACACAGTATTTTATTTGAAAATGAAGCCTGGCCAACAAACCCCCAGTTGGGACCAAGCCCCCATCTGGCCTCAGCATCATAACACTCCTGCACTCCCCCTTCCGCTAGACCCTACATCTGAGCCTATCATACACTGGAACCCCCTGCTCTGAGCCCCTCACATACCCCAATTCCTGAACCCTCAAATCCAGAAGTCTGTGGCTTGCTTAGTTCCCTAACCCTACATCTGACCCCAATACTGCCCAGCCTGGAGCCCCCCCCCCGCGCCAGCA